TCAAGATCCATATGGATCTTGAGCCTATCTTCTAGGGTGTTAGCTATTCCTGTCAGCTTAGTATTATCTGCAAATTTGGTAAGTTCCCCTTCTATTTCCTCATCTAAATCATTTATGAAGAGTATTGGGCCTAAGACAGAATCTTGTGGTACTCCACTGCTTATTTCCCTCCATAGTATACTTAGACCTATTAAGGACTACTTCTTGAGTTCGGTTTGTCAACCAGTTACCTAATCCATCTAGTGATGATGCTATTTATCCCACTTTTTTCTAGCTTACCAAGAAGTAGGTTGTGGTTTACTTCGTTGAATGTCTTGCTGTAGTCTAAGTATACTATGTCCACAGTATTTTGCTGGTCTACTAATTTAGTTACTATGTTGAAGAATGAAATAAGATTGTTTTGGCATGATCTGTTTTTAACAAACCCTTTTCAACTTCTTTGACCATACTTTGAAGGACAATTCTGGAAAAATGAAGGGGAAAAAGGCTACCAGCCTCCTAGCTATGACAATTAAAAGAAGCATTGGCATGTCTGCTGGTTTAGGAAAGAAAACAAAGTTTATAACTAATTCTCTTAATGCTTTATCTATTCCTAAATAATCAAATTCCAGATGTCTTCAATAACAACTACAAGAATTTCCTGCCAGTTGCTTGGGAGGTTGACATAAGTTTTAGTGGCAACAAATTTCATTGTGTTTTATAATTTTAAACTGTTAAGTGTCTTAATTGTAATATATTTTTAATTGTAAGCTGTTCAAATTCATTAACTGAGATAGGTGGCTATAAAAATTGAATGAGTGAATGAATAAATCTCAGTAGCTTAGAAGCAACTGAAGGCTGGATATCATCCTAGGGTGGAAAAATTGTTCAGTGGCTGGGGAGAAAATTATTTTTCTCCCTTCAGAAAGTTCTACCAAAAAAAATGTAGGAGAAGGCCCCTTTTTTTCTCTGCGAAGGCATTTGTGTATCAGAGAACTACCGTCTCTCATGACTCTAGAAACAGCACTGAATCTTATAGTCTTGATTTGGTGACTTAATTAGATTTAGTCAAAGGTTTGAGATAATGGTTGGGATATTTTCCGTGCTTTCTTTTTTCCTGCAGTTTAATCTCCATCTCACGGGTGACATCCATGCTATTACTGCTGCCAATAACTTGGTTGCTGCTGCTATTGATGCCCGCATCTTCCATGAGGCTACACAGTCCGATCAGGTAATTTGATGCAATTAATGACTCTCTCTTCTAGTGTGCTTTGTGCACAGTTTGTTTAGCTGAGATTTATTGTGTGCCGATAAATCCTTAATTACATGCTTTGTTCTTAAAGGCACTCTATTCACGATTGGTTCCTTCAGTTGACGGTGTTAGGAATTTCTCTGATGTCCAGATTCGGAGACTACAGGTGAGCTTGCTTGCAATCTCCAGTCTGTTTGTACTTCTCAGAGTATCTTCAATGCTCACAAACATAGGATTTGACATAGTAATAGCATTTAGACTTATATACCACTTCACAGTGTTTTATAGCCCTCTCTAAGCGGTTTACAGAGTCAGCATATTTCCCCCAACAATTTGGCTCCTCATTTTACCCACCTCAGAAGGATGGAAGTCTGAGTCAACCTTGAGCCTGGTGAGATTTAATCTGCCAAATTGCAGGCAGCCAGCAGGAAGCAGAAGTAGCCTGCAGTACAGCACTCTGACCATGGCTCAGTATTCAAAGGAATACTACAGCCTCTGTTGAAATAATTCAGAGTTTTATGTTTTTCAATATAGAAAAATGTGCTCTAGTTTAATATGTCTTCCTTGAGGCTGAACAAGGTCTACTCAAAGTATGATGCAAAGGCAAAGCAATGTTAAAGAATCATAATTCATATCAGACAGTAACACTGATTTCATACAAAATCAAGCTTTACAAGGATGACCCCATATTTTATCCTTCAGGTATTTCCGGGAGTTTATTTTGGTTTTGCTCATATTGTGATTGCCTGGGAAGCTATAATACTATTTTTCCCAGTGTTGCTGATTACTCCTCATAATGTTCCTCCACGTTCTTCTTGAGAAATTGATAATGATGACTTCTCCATTCCAGTTGCCCACCATAAATGGCCAAAGATTGCTACCAGTACATACCAATATGATGGCCAATGCCTCCGGGCTCCAATGTGGTATGATCTAAATCAGATGTGATAGATGCATAGCTACAACCCTGACCTTTTCTGGATGCTTTGCCCAGGGATACACATCCTTTCCTGGGCTAAGGGTGCATTTGGCCTTTAAATGGTATGCTGGGCATAGCTTTATAAAACATAATTGATGGGCAGGATAAAAACTAAAGCTGATTTAATTTGGTTTACATTTCATTAAAATAAATATAGTTAATGCAATTACTCTTCAGTCACTTATTTAATTCTATTCCCCTTTTCTCACATTAAAAGCTACAATTTGATAACAATTTTGAAGGTTCTATGCAGGCCATACCCAAGCCTTTTGAGTATTCAGGTTGGATTCCATTGTTGTAGCTGTTCTTCTTTTACCTTTGCACTGTGTTATAGACAGTGCAAGACACGTGCGTTCATTAAAAGAATTTTTGGGGAGGGTGGGTGTTCTCTGCCTATGTATTTTGCTGATATTGAGAGAGAAAAATAAAAATTGAGAATTCTGCTCATTGATCTCTTGAGGGTAATGCTGTTTTCTTAAAATTGTTGCTGATTTTAGTGAATAATTGCACTAAAGGCAATTACTGAACTCTAATTTTAACCAGATAGGTTAAAACCAGATGGGTTTTTGCATTTCAGCTGCATCCCTTTATGTTACTTGCAAAAAAAAGGTTTTTTAACTACTTTGCTTAAAGAATAGTTTCCTGTAACTTGTCAATGTCTTTCTCTCTCTTTCTCTCTCTTTCTCTCTCTCTCATTTCCTTCCTCAGAGATTACATATTATGAAAATGGACCCAGCAACTTTGACAAATGATGAAATAAGCAAATTTGTGAGATTGGATATCGATCCAGATAGCATAACATGGCAACGAGGTATTGCAGCACAAGTAACCTCCAGGAGAAAAGCTGTTTGGAAGAAAGATGATTCTGTCTATGGGGGATACAGATTAAAGTCTAAACAAGGAATAAATACCTGCTGAGTCCTTCGCTCTTAATTTTTAGGATCCATTTAGTTAGGGACAATTTTAATAATTAAGAGGCAGGTGCTGTGTTCACCCAGGACTGCATTGCCAGCAGTAGGGATTTCTTTCTCCAGAGTAAAAGGCTTCAGTCATTGCTTCCTCCCCATAGGTGATCTATCAGTGCCATTTTTCTCTTTGGGGCAGGAAATTCTGGTTTTTATGCATTAGTAGGAAGATTTGCATTTAGCTTAATGCAGTCAGAATTTGCTTTTGAAAAAAACCTAAGACTGTGCTGAATATTACAGCATAGAAGCAGGAGTTATGCAGTTAATTGTCTCTTTTCCTTCATTTTGTCATGTTTCTCTTAGGAGTTCATGAGTTCATTGTGTTATCTATGCTATTGTTAGAGTAGTTATCTAAATTTTCACTTGGTATGAAATATGTGTTGGCCATTTGGATTTTTGGTCAACGTGATTCTCCCTTTTCCTTTTGACAACCATTTTCCTCAAGGCATATAACTAAGGGGGTTGGTTATTTTATTTTTACTTACTGTAAGTATGTAATCTGCTTGGACAGCTTTCATTATCAGATAGATTAAAACATTAAAATATTCATAATAAATCCATTACTTAACTTATTAATCATCAGATAATTCATTTATAGACTTTCTTGTAAGTTGAACTATTACAGCATAGTAGTTCAATTTATTTGGCGTATTCCTTTTCAGGTTCCCCCAAAGAGTGTATGCTCTTTGTTCTCTGAACATGTTGAGTCTTCATTGGGCTATTTTTGGAATGTAAAATGATCTTTGACAGTCATTATCACTCAAGTTCACCTGCCCTGACCAGAATTCCACTACTGTTGCACAAGGCTCAAGGTGTAGAAAATTATGCAGATAGAGGTCTTGGTGCTCCAAGAGCTTGGCCGTTTACTTGCAGATATTTCATTCCTTAACTAGGTAACATCATCAGTGCTGCACTGATGATGTTAACTAGTTCAGTAATAAAACATTTACAAGCAAACAGTCAAGCTCAGAGAGCACCAGGTACTGCACAATTCAATCCTGAACTACATATATTCTCTTCTATTAGAACTATTCAAATTTGATCCAATTAGTCACTTCCTCTGCAGCAGAGGAGAGGAGGTTGCTATGGTCTCTCTACATGAGCTCCTTCTCTGAATTTGTTCTCCAATCTTGTGTTCCTGTGGAGTTGCTACTGGGCTGATCATAGTTTTGAGGTAACTTTCAGCCTGCTGCCTTTTGTTTGGGTCACAGTAAGTGGTTCCACTTTTGAGCCACTGTACGTTATTGTTTCACAGATCAGTGTGCTAAGAGACATTATAAGAAATTAAAGTCAAAGTCTTCCTGGATTTTGCTGCTGAAAGTTGCCTAGAATGTCAGGAAACAAAATAGAGTAAAGGTAGACTGGACGGGCTCTTTTGATGCCAAATTTATAGCTCTTGATTAATCTTGCAATTAGACTCTTATTAACTTATTTTTAATCTTAACTAGTAGAGCTTTGTACTTATGGGAGTGAAGTATTTGTCTGCTATTCATTAAGGAAGTGCAAGGTTATTGTTGTTGTTTTGATTCTGTGAGCATGAAAAATAATGATGATGGTGGTAATGATGATGATGATGCTTTATGGTAGTGTTTCATGGTTGGCTGGAGGATTCTGGGAGTTGGAAGTCCATGCATCTTAAAGATGTCATGGTGGAGAAACACTACATTAATGAATCTACTCATTAAACCTAATGTGATTCCAAAGCAGTGGCACCTTCTTTGGAGCTCTGGGATATTGTAAAGGTGGAGCTTCTTTAATAAATAGCAGAATAACATAATGCTGTTATTCCAAAGCATTTTCAAGCTTTCTTGTCTAGGAATAGTCTGTGAAGAAATGATTTAAGCAGTTCTCTATAGACGTTAACCATGCAGAGATGCACGGTAGTCCTTATTTAATCCTTATAGTATCAATACATCCATTAAAAAACTGCATGTCATTCTGCAGGTCAATGAAACTTTCCAAATGTAGCCTATTAATCAGCATCATGTTGAGAACATATTATGGTTCTTTCCACACTTGCTCACAATCTCATGTTAGCTTACTTTTTCCCAATGTTTCCAAGGGGAATTTAATTTTATACCGTTTCCTAGTAAATAAGATATGAAACATAATCTCAAAAGACTGATTTTGGATTATTTTTATCCTACAACTAGTATTCCATATAAAGTTTATACATAGAAAACACTCTATAGCTATTTTCTTGGTATCAAAATTGCTTAAGCAAAAAAGTAGCTATGTATTTCCTCCTTCCTGTGGAATTCCTGCTGTCAAATAAAACGATCAGTGCAAATAGAAAAGAGCAAATTACAGAAGACTATTGACAAGTCAGTTTATCTTTCAGGCATCTTTCAATGGTCCTGAAAATATAGATCGCCCTTCTGCAATTGTGTGTGCTGAACTTCAGTTTTCATCACTCCTGGATATTAGGAGATGATGGCATTTAAAGTTCAGCATACATGAAGGCTGGTGAAGATTGATTTATGCAAATTCTGTTTCCCATTGCTTGTTTTGAGATTTTCTTGGGTGACTTGAAATAACAGTCTATAAAATCATGGGTATATTTAAAATATGAATAACCGTGGTTTGTTGCTCAAAGTGTTGGCCTATGATTGGGAGATCTAGGTTTAAGTCTACCTTCAGTCATAGAAGTTCACCAAGTGACTCTGCTTTAGCCCAACCAACTTCACAAGTTGCTACCTGGGGCTTAAAATCAAAGGAGATATCAAGGGAAGTCGTGGCATGACAAAACCACGCTCGACTAAAGCGCGCCCGATTAAACCGCGTTGCTGACGTCATCAACAGGGCGACAACAGCGAGCGTGGAGAAAGAAGGGCGCTTAAAAGAGCACTTCGAAACCAAGCCGATTCAAGTTAAGGTAAGGGTTAGGGTTAGGGTTAGGGTTAGGGTTAGGGTTAGGG